AAAAAAAATACCATCTGGCTCCGGGCCACAGTAGACGAATAATGGGATTTTCTTCGTTCCAAAAAGGTAGTGGACCTTCTTGATCAATCCCAAAGCGACTAGAACATTAGCAATGTCATATAGTCTGCGACATCGACCTAAAACAAAAATATTACAAATAAAATAATCAACAAAACTGACACAATTAAGGACGTACTTAACCAGATTTTCTACGTCATCGCTCATATGTCAATGAGACACCGTTTTTTTTCAACAATACAAAACTGCCAAAAGGGTTATATCTCACTCGACTGTTGACAACTTAATGTTCAAGTCTTACATTAGTATCTAAGATCTATTTCTATACAACTTCAAAAATTACAAATTTGGCTGATCCAAAAGGAAATGAATAGAAAGGGCATAATTAGCATGAATCAAAAAAAGGAAAATTTACTTTTTATTTCATTAAGCTAGCAGAACGTGGAGAAGAGGTAGTAGATCACTTACTTCGACTAGGAGGCTCAAAACCTTCAGTATCAGGATCTTTGATCAGTACTGTACTGGCCACATCCAAGCTAACCCTTCTGGTGTTCTTCTAAAGAAGAATATTTTGAGAGAGGTCAAAGCGATAAAGATTTCTGAAAATCTCACAGGGTTGCTCAGAAGCACCATTAGAAATCGCCTACATAGTTGCGCCAGCGAATTTCTTCCCTGCCGATCTCTACCATCAACTCGCGATCGTTTCTGAAAATACTTTATAGGTTTGTAAGGTAAGATTACGAATCAGTGTATTATACCTCACTGCTGTGAACAGACTGGCATAAAGAATCAGTTGAACTTTGAGACAACGATCCATCATCGCCAATCAATGTACCTAGAACGACTTGACATTTTCAATCATCACATCAACTCCAATTGTTTCAAAAACAAAAAAATTAGATCTTCGAGAAATTGCAAGGGGGATGTATAAAGAAACGGCAGAGTTGTCTCGACGGTAACCGTAAAAGGCATAAGACGGATGTGCGAATAATGCGGCAATAGAAAGATGCCGAAGACGATAAGCGCGCGCGAGATGAGACCTTCCCATAGAGAAGAGGCGGCGATAGCCAAAGCATTCTGTTGGACAATCACAAAGAAGTAATTTTAAGTTCCGATATTTGTCTATTGGAGTTCTTACAGTGGTGATAATAATGATGATCAACATTGCCAAAAGTACACGCACAAAAATGTTTTTCCTGACTCTTATAATCTCCTTGATTTGTAAAATCCAAATTTTTGCAAGTAATGCTCAGGTATTTTTATATCGTTTTAACCAATACTGACTGATGGCTTTTGAACCATTTTGTCATAACAGATTCAAGTCTTAAATCAGTGAATGGTATTTTACACTGAGCTAGCTAGTTTCTAGACATCTTACGCATAAGTTTTATTGATTTTTGCATTTTTTTTCAATGAAGTAATTCAATGAATATCATACTTGAAATGCTGCTTTTACATACTTATTCTCAACTCTACAAATTATGTTCAAAATTAGATAGAAATTTACGATAAAGCACGAAGAGTTGCAAAAAAAAGGCAGGAGAAAGTAAAAATGGAATCAACATTACAAACAACCACAGTTTTTGATTCTTTTTGAATTCGTCTAACCCTTACCAACGACTTCCTTCATGCCGGATTTGCGACTTCCAGGTGATAATTCAGTAAAAGAGCACATTGCTTGCTCGACTCGCAATACTCGCTCAGGAAGTCGCTCTTCTACGGCTTCCTTCTGAAAGAAAGTTGTTTTGGACCCAACAGTTTCGTTAAAAATCTATCCATTAAGTAGTTGATGACTTGGTATACCTGCAAGTCAGCCATAAGTTTTGGCAATCCTTCCAAACCATGCCAACGATAGTAAGATTTATTGGTTTTACTCATAGCGTCCAATGCCTCCATGACGTTTACGATATCATATATCCGCCGCTTTTCGACACCTAAGCGAGATCACAATTAATTAAAAGTACAAGTGGAAATTTGACCTACTCATTTTCCTTGCTACAGTTTCAAGATGCACCTCGCTCGTTAAACTTGACCGTGTTTCTTCATTCATGGCAACAAGGAATCTAAAAAAATCGGTTTCGTAGAAACCCGCAATAAAGAAGTTTGTTGTTCACCTTTGGCACAAGAGTCCAAGACTCTTCTCTTTTCGTGATGTTATCTCGTTATCTTCACCATCAACATCCAAATCA